CCCCTACAGATTCGCCGACGCCACCACATCTTCCAAGGGACTCCCCAAAACTTGCAGGGGCTGGCCCCCCGCAATTTTCTTCTCTTATTTCTCACAGTGAGACCACTATTTTCCTAACTTCTGGGATTTAAAATTTAGGAGTCATCATGTCGTCTTCCCATCCCATCAAATTCTGTGGCTTCCATCCTTTCTGGATCTCTCAATCACTAGCGTTCCGTATCCATTCCTTATTGCCTAGTAACTGAATGAGAGGTAACTGGACTCTCTCAAATCCAATCTTTACATCATTCATACACTAGATTCATTTCCTTAGAGTATCACTTGGGTTATATTTCCTGCTGCCTAAAAAGTGCTCCTTTTTAGCTGCCAGATAACAAGTTAACCAACCAACCAAGCAACCAACCAACAAACAAACAACGATTTCAAATCAAGCAGATAGCTAAATCTACCTTACTTCCCAAGGAATGAGTACAAAGAGAGTTTAGGAGAGAACTGTTTGGCTGAAAAGTGAAATTCTCCTTTTCCCCTGGCAAATTTCCAGTGCAACTCCTCCCAGGATCCTGCCAGTATTACCAGGATAGCCTTCCTTGGCATCCCTCCTGCAATCTCTCCTCCTTCTACCAGACTACCTAGATGCCACTACAGACTACAGGAAGTGCTTCCAAAAACAGTTCTGACCCAGTCATTCTCCTGGTCAAAATCCTTTGCTGACTGACTGTTGCCTGCTGCAGTTATACCCCAAGCCTGTCATAGGCTGGTATCTTCTACTAACCTATCCCCCACCAACATTTCAGCAACATGCTGTTCCATGACCCCACCAAGTATTCTCTGGACTATGTACCTCTGTACAAAATTTCCCCTCTGTTAGGGTACGGACAGAGTCGAGGCGAGGTGTACAGCACTGCCGGGGCTGGCAAGCCGGAGGTGCCGTGCTGGGAACCCAGAGATCAGAGTAGATGCAAAGAATTGCGACACACAGAGGTGAGAGAAGAAAAGACTTATTTAAGAAAAGTTTACCCCCTACAGACAGGGAGTGGGCCTACACTCTAGGTGAGTGTGGCCTCGTAGCCCCCCAGAGTTCTGGCTTAAATCTTTCTCTTGGAGATGTTGCATGTGACTGCCGTGACTGCTGTGACTTCCTTATCGACCGCCTGTGGATGTCTTGGAGAACCTGTGACACAGAGACCCGTTAATGATTGCCCACATTATCATATCCCTAGAGAAGGGCGTGACAAGGATTCTAATTCTCCTGCACCTTCCCAAATGACATTCCTTAGACCTAATGGAGGGTGTACCTCCCCTTCTCTCCTAGGCATTCCCAGTGGGTAGCTTCCGGAGATCCCTGTAGATAGGGACTAACTTACTGGAAGATCGAATCACAACCTGCTCTCCCTCTGAGCGGTTATAACTTTTGTAATTACAAGTTTCATGACTTTTACAGTCCTTGCCCAATGCATGATGTCTTAGGCCTTGTAAATTCTCTTTACTCTAGGCAAGCGTGATTGCCACTATGAGATACCTTAGATATCTGGAAGTCTGTTTCTGAAAAGACAAAAGTCGGTAAAGTTAATTATACCTAGAGTGTGCATTTCTCCAAAAGCATAGTTTCTACTTTCCCATCATTGTGTCAGGGTTTAAGAACAAGGTGAAAAATGGCTTCCTACTCTCGGTCTGTCCTTTCACCCTCTACTTTGAATTTGTATTCCATCTCCTCCTTTTCTCACATCTTGATGTATACCTGGAAAAGTTCTATTCATTCTTTGAAGGCCCTCCCAGAGACTCCCTCTGGAACACATATAGGCTAATGGATGTCTATGATGGCCTTTATCTTAGAGTATTGTT